AGTTTCTCCTTTTTGGTGGCAGAGGGAAGGGCCAAATTTGAGGTGGGACAGGCCTATACTTCCGCAATTGAAGGGAAAAGGAAAAACTTTCCTTGTGGTCCCGATGCCAACCTTTGGGAAGGACATCCTTGGGAGGGACTCTGCAGGGGTGAGGAGACCCATGGAGAGAGAAGGACTATTCAAAGCTTGAGGGCTGCCAGCAGGTGAAAGGACGAGTCATAAAAATACCCAGTGGAGACTCATATATAAATATTGCACCCAGCGGTCTCCAGCGAAACTTTTCCAGTCACCTTAGACCTTTTCTGATCCTACACATTTTAACTGACTCTAGAAAATAGGAAATAAACACAGAATATGTAGCAAGGATATCAAAGAGAGACTGAATATATCTTTTTTTTTTTTTTTGTACTGCAAGTCTCCTAGTTTGAAGGAGGCCCAAACAAAGCAGATACTTAAAATTGAATGAGACGATAAAACGGTATTGCTCTGGTTTAGGCATCTTAACACTGGAAGGAAGGAGAGACTACTCGTTTCAAGGTAGGCACGTGAATAAGTGACAATCAGCAACATTCCATAGGTCCCCTCTACTTCGTGTATGTGGAGGCAGCCTGCAGCTCCATGTTGAGGAGGATGTGAGCTGTGACCAGTGGGAAGGAGCGCTAGGACCATCTGGACTGAGAAGCAGGAAGTGGAGGGAAAGCCTGCCACGTCCCTGTCATCTGTAGTTTAGGGAAATGGAGCAAATGGACTTGATATTCTCTCTCTGCCCTGTGAGAGTCCTTGATGAGAGAGGGACTAATACACAGTAAGCATGCAGCACATTTTTGTTGAATGAGAATAACATGACCAGTGGAGCAAATCTACATACCTCATGTTCAAGAGGATTCTTTGCACATCTGACCACAGGCTTCTGCTGAAGAAGAAATTGCCTTTGATTTGTCAATCGAATAACCATCACTGTCGTGACATGCATATGGTCAAACAGGCCCTGTTCAGTAGAGACCCAAGTTTCCCTGGACTAGTGGCACTAGAGGAATTATCACTGAAGGAGAATTACTAACTTCCTGACCATGATTTACCTATAAAGCTGATCCTGTGATTTACCAATAAGACTGGCCTAGTATTTAGACAGAGTCTCTAAGACAAGGCAACCAAGGCTGGTTCTTAGACTAGAAGCAACATGTGATGGTTGAGGTTCCCTAAAACCTTGTCCTTGTGGTGTCTGGCTGGCTCAGTTGGTAGCGCATCGACTCTTGATCTCAGGGTCGTGAGTTCAAGCCCCATGTTAGGCATGGAGCTTACTTAAAAAAACAAAACAAACAAACAAAAATGTCATCCTTTATGGCCACCACCAGCTTGTTTTTGGGGGCTTGGGAGCTTCTCTCCTCTGATTTACACACTGACAGACCAGTGCCCTGGGTGTTGCTATGATTACATAAAGGGACAATTTCCTTCTCTCTGATCCAGCCTTACCCGGTCATCACATTTATCTCCCTAAAATACTGCATTGTCCATATTTCTTCCTGCTTAAAAAATATTCAGTAACTGTTCATTGCTTAGCAAATAAAATCCAAATTCCTTTGTCAGTTATTCAAAGATCTCTATGAATGATATTGGCATAATCTACTTTTCCAGTCTGAACTTCTGCTCCTCCCATCCTGCCCAGGTGTAATCATGCCACACTCCCTGAGTATTTCTTCTGTCTCTTCTTTCTTTGGCTCATGATATTCCTGCTACCAGAAGTATGCTGCCTCCTTCCACCTGTTCTTTCTCCCATCATTCAAAGCCTGTCTCAAATACTGCCTCCTTCATGAAGATTTCACACCAAACCTACTGGCATCCACAGATCAGAAATTAGCTCTCCTTTACTTGGTGTCATGTTTTTTTATAGATATTATCATATATTGTCTTATATTTTAAAGGAAAATGGCCAAGCTCCCCCCTTTTTTTTTTCAGGTTTTAAAACTTTTTATTGCATATTAAAAAAATTGTGCATTCCAATAATTAAAATCATTTGAACGACAAAAAAAAAATGGCACTCTGATTAAACTGCATTTTACAGCCTGCAGGACACCCTGGACCAGCTTGGTTTTTACTCTCGATTTCACTGTCGTCCCACCCAGCTTCTTCCTTCACCAACATGCAAGTTCTTTTCCTTCCCTGCCAGCCAGACAGGCAGATGGGAGAGGCAGGCACCTTTGTTGTCAGTAATTTTACTTTTTAAGTAAATTAAGTTTTATTGTTTTATTATTCTTTATAAAGTTTCTTATGCTTGGCACAACAGGGGTTGTATATAGGGTAATGGATAAATATTTTAAGAATAAATTAGTATTTATATGTTAAAAATGGCTTAGAATTAAATAGAGGTAGTGATTGTATAATATCGTGAATGCACTAAATGACCCTTCACTCTTCCCTTTTAAATGCTTAATTTTATGTTGCTGAAATTTCACCTCAATAAAATCTTTTCTAAAAGAATGAATTAATGATTGAATGAATTAGCATACCTTTCTAGCATCTAACTGGCAAATTAGAATCACTTTTTTCTCTCTGCTTCCATTTTGCAGAAGAGAGCAATAGAACATGTTATTGTACTTGCGTATCAGCAGCATGAATATGTTCTATAACTAACTTCTCCCAATTTCTCTATCTTCTGGCCAGATTACCTTTGCAGAGTGGTGGCTTCCATGGCCCCATAGCCCCTGATCTCGAGTGAATGGATGGGATTATTCTCTATATTCCCCATTTCCAATCTGACCGAAACAAGCCTCATTGGCCTCCAGCCAGACCGAGGGAGAAATTCACCATCTAACATAAAAATGGAGAATAGGTTTGAGGGTATCTGCATCTCTCCTTAGTCTGAAAGAAAGCTAATCCCAGAGTTTATAGACAAAGTACTGTCCCTTAGCTACAGGTGCAAATCACCGTCAATTACAAATCCTCCTCCATAGAAACGCATTCTGAGTATTTTATCTTTTATCACAGAAGACATTTTAAATGACATTTAAACAAAACATTTAATGGGGCTTAAACAAAGGTTTGTGAGTGGAGCCACTTCACCTGCAATGACATTCCAGCCACCATGAATGATCCTCCTCTGAATGTTGATGGAATAGATAAACCCATGGTTTCCATCTCCATTTCCTCTCCAATATACCCTGCAAAATGTCACCAGATTTATCTTTCTCACACACTCCCCAATCCAGAAACATTAGTAGCGACTCATTACTTACTTTAAAAAGCCCTAACTCCTTAGGTCAACGGTTGTTAATGTTGGCTGCCCATTAGCATCACCTGGTGAATTTCTTCCCTACGCTGACGCGTGGCCCATCCGAGTTATAAGCGCCGTGCACGGAGGCATAGGCGTAGGTCTTCTTTTTAAGGCTTCCCAGGTGATTCTAATGTACAATTAGTGTAGAGAACCACCATCTGCGATAACCTTTCAGGAGCTCTGGATCGGAAATGGCAGAGGCAGAGGTGGGGGATGTAGGGTAAGGAAAGAGTAAGAAAGACAGAGAAGATAGACCAGTCACCAGGGAAGAGAATTGAGCCGATTGAGATGTCTCTTGCAGATGCCATGGGTATGAGGCAGATAGAGTTCTGGCTCTGTGAGTACACGTAGAAAATGAGCGGCACACCAGCCCTTGCCAGTTACAGTCCCTTCGCCAGCTGTCTGTCGTTCATAGCTGGTTCCAGAAGAAGTGCCAGCCAGGCAGCCTTGTGCAGGTTCGGGGCCTGTCCTGTCTTGGCAGGCCGCTCTTTCTACTCTGGGCCCTTGTGTCCCACCCCGCCCCTTCCTCGGGGTCTGGACCTCCGACAGGCAGGGGTGCAAGAGCGAGGCTTTCCTGACTCATCATCTCCCCCACTGTCTAAAGATAGGGGGCAACAGGGTTTTTATCTGCCGTAACCATGCAATAGGCTCCTTCCTCCCTGGGGCAGGATTTGGTACAATTTGTATCACGTGGTCTCCCTGCCTGGCTCTCCGTCCCAACGTGAAATGGAGACTCTTGAAGGATATAAATGATACGGGCGCAATGGCAGACACATCTGGTGCCTCCTCCAGCCCGTCAGGAGGTGTTCACGTCCAGCTTTTACTACAAGACCTACGGTGGGCTTTATCGAGGCACTTTATGACGGTGCTTTTGAAAGTTTCCCTCTAGTCATCATTATGAGCTTATGGATTAGGTAATGTCTTGAAAAATGGCCAGAGGGCTAAAGTGTCAGTTTTACAGCTCACATACCTGAAAATAACAACGTGGATTTATTATTTTTATTCAACAATATCTTTGGAATGCCTCATAAGCAGAAATTAACGGTGACAACTCTTGTCTCTGTACACAACCCTATCACACATAATGCTAAGGAAAGCCAAGGCCACTGACCGAATCCTTTCCAGGATTCCTCTCCCTGGTATCTCCGCCCAAGTACATTCCATCTCATCGCCTGTCAAAATTTCCAATAAGCAACAGAGATACGACTTGGTATATCCGGCTGCAAAGACAGAAAGACTGGCTTGAAAGGTGAGAAGGTTGGCGAAGAAATGACCGGAACATTTCGAAACCACATATATATTTCTAATTCATAACTTCTCTTTCTATCTAAACTTCTATATGTGTGATCCAATTCAAATTGCTATGCTTTGGAATTTAAGAAGTTATTAACAAACGAAAAGACAACATACTGTCTGCACAATCTGGATTTAAAAAGCATTCATGTGGGTTGTTCCTATACAGAAATCACTCCAGCATTACCTTTCTTTTTTTCTTTTTCTTTTTTTTTTTTTTAAAGATTTTATTTATTTATTTGACAGAGAAAGACACAGCGAGAGAGGGAACACAAACGGGGAGTGGGAGAGGGAGAAGCAGACTCCCTGCCGAGCAGGGAGCCCGACGCGGGACTCGATCCCGGGACTCCAGGATCATGACCTGAGCCGAAGGCAGTCGCTTAACCAACTGAGCCACCCAGGCGCCCCAGCATTACCTTTCAAATACGAAGTTTGAGGGCTCTCTTCGGCAGCACATATACTAAAGTTGGAACAGTAAAGAGATGATTTGCAAGGCGCCTGCATCAGAATCACACGCAAATACAAAGTTTGATCGCTTTTCCAGAATAACGCATTCCAGATTTTTTAAACCAACAAAACAACAAAATAGAAATTAAGCATATACAAGATACAAAACAATATTCCACGTTTGAAAAATATAAAGTAGCATCTCTATAGTCCTAGATTCTCTAATGAAGAAGATACATACGCTCTCCCATGCAATTTCCTTGGACCCTCAATAAAACTGTGATAATGCTCTTCTACTACACTAACCAGATTATTCATTTTCATGAATGTCTGTCTGCTAGAGGTTAGGAATTAGATTATATTCTTTTTTCCTATATCCAATGCCTCATGTAAGTAGTTGATTCACATGAGGTAATAAATATGTTTGTAGAATAAATGACCACTCATATAATGTGTGTATGCCTACACACACATATATATATGTGCAATAGATATATGTGTCCAATGCATGTACATATATACATATGTATGTGCAATATTTATATACATACACACAAGAAATTAATTATTTACTTATGTGAAATTTGGTGTGTATGTAAAATTAGAAGGAAGAAAATAAAAATGTGGTATAAAATTTCCATCATGCCAGTGTTGAGAAGACAAGACCATGCCCAATCTGTCCTGTGATGTTATAGGACGAATGGTAACCTACAAAATACGTAGGTGGGAACTGGTTTGGCCAGTATTTCAAATACTGAATTCCGAATTCCTGGCATACTAATGACCTTCATTGCATTTTTCTGGACACCCTTTTAAAGAGTTTTTCCATGAAGCAGATTTTGGCATAGCTGCTTTTTCATGAAGTCCTGAAAAGACTGTATTGAAAAGAAAGATAACTTCCACCCTAATATCTATTTCTGTATTACATAGAAATGTGCAATAAAACATGTGATATATTTTTTATTACCTGAATTATATATTCCAAGGTCCAAAGACTGAAAAAGAGGTTTCAATTTATTTTTTCCAGCATGCTTGAAGGCCAATGTCCTTTAAAATTTGCATTACGAGAAAGAATGTGCTCAGGGATCAGCTGGAAATTTAAAACATGAGAACTTTGCAGCTGTGGCTATGGGCTAAGGCTCAGCAGGAGAGGACAGGTCCCCTTCTGGCCATTCTGTAAGTTGTGTTGAGCTCCCCAGGGAGTCACAGATAATACTCCCTGTCCTGACCAAGCTACATGGATTGTGAGCCAAATGATGCAGGTGTATAGTAATAAGATCTTTCATTTGCATAGCACAATATAATCTTCTCACTACAATCTTTTGAATTAGGCAGAAAACTAATTGTCTCTAGGTTATAGACAAGGAAACCGAACTTTGGTGAGATTTAGGGGTATGAGATAATAAAAACCACATAACTGGTCTCTGGCCCCAGTTGCTGACAGACCTCCTAAAATAATTTCCTGAGTGATAAGAGCACTAGGAGCATCTTTTGTTCAAATATTTGGTCTTTGATCCTGGTTCCTGACACTGGGCTCCTAAATCTCTTGGACTTTCCTCGGTGATAGGAGTGTCTCTTGTTCTAATGAGGTGACTGAGTAGACTCCTGGATGGCTCCTAGATGAGGCTGGTCACCAGAAAGACCAAAGCCGTAATTAGAGGCTTGGAACTTTCCGCCCCACTCCCCACTTTCCAGAGAGGGGAGAGGGGTTGGAAAAGAAATTCATGATAAATCATGCTTACATGATGAAACTTCCATTAAAAATCCCAAAAGTAGGTGGTTGGGAGCCCTTCCGCTTCCGGGTTGGTAAACACATGGAGACGCTGGGAGAAGGCATGGAAATTCCGTGGCCCTTCCTACATACCTTGCCCTCTGCATCTCTACCATCTGGATGTTCACGTGTATCCCTTATCATATCCTTTTATAACAAGCTGATAAATAGTAAATAAACTTTTCTTGAGTTCTAAGAACACTCTAGCAAATTAACCAAATCTAAGGAGCGGGGTTGCAGGAACCTCCCAATTTATAGCTGATCAAGCAGAAGCACAGGTAACAACCTAGACTTGTGATTGGTATCTCAAGTTGCGGGGACAATTAACCCCTTTTAATTGGGCCCTTAACATGTGGGATCAGATGCTATCTCCAGATAGATAGTGCCAGAATGGAGTTAAAATTGTAGGGCACCCAGCTGGTGTCACAGAATAGCTTGGTGTGGGGAACCGCCCCCCCCCCCCCCCACATAGCTGCTGTCACAAGTGTTGGGAATGTGGTAGTCATATGAGAGTAAAGAACAAACTTGGGAGGAGGACTGGGTTTTTCCTACTTCAGTGGCTTGCAGGGCCCACAGTACAAAGAGATGAAATTGGAATTAGAACCTATAGACCCGGTCAGAGGTATAGAGGTCAGAGGATATAAGTGTTTCCAGACCTACTATTTCCTGGCTACATGACCTTCTGCAAGATTCTCAAGCTCTCTGAACTTGAACAGCTTTACCAATAAAATAGAATAAAAATCTCTCACGTTGTTACTCTGAGAGTGAAATAATGTGTGAAAACATTTTGTCAAGAGCAAAGTATTATTCAAGGTTCATGTAGTATTTACTCTTTTTCTCCCCTGCAAATAGTGACAGGATAGTTTCCCAGAAGCATCCAGTTTTTGAAAAACAGGTTCAGAATCAATTGTCTGCAATTCTGAAATCTCCAAAACTCTAAACCAAAAGTATTTCTAACTCGTTTAGCAGCAAAGTCTTACCTGAACTGACAGGTGTATTTATTATCTTGTTTTCCCCTGTTCACTATGAATATTCATTTGTTCCACAGCAGAAATATCAATATAATTATAAGGTTACAAGTTGCTGCGTCTCACCTGTAGGACGTGTTCTGGGATAATTGCTAACACAGCACATTATCTTTCTAAAACTCAAACATCCTGTACTCTAAAGTACATATGACCCTAGAGATTTTGGAGGCATCATGGGGCTTGTAATATGGAGTGGAGTCCCAGTGACCCAGCTTACAGATGTCCTGATGACAGGACACCACAATTCTGGGTGAATTTTGCATGTTACGTCAGAGGCTGGTGATTCTGACATCAGCCACAGGTTGGGTCTAGGTTGGGACTGAGGACAGCCTCACACATTTCTAGTCCCAAACTTCAACTTGATCCCTCGTCCTGAAACTAAGGAGGCTATTTGAATGATTCTTCTCACAGCAACACATCCAAGTGCTAGAACCAGAAGCCATGGTGGAAAACAGATGAGCAAAGACGTTGGGCAACATAGATCTGAGGCTGGATCCCCGAACTACTGCTTACCAGCTCTGCACCTTTGACAGGATTACCAAGCTTTTTAAATCTGATCTTCTCATCCTTAAAGTGGGAACTTACATAATGTATCTGAGGGCTGTGGTAAGTTTTAAATGGCACAGTATATATAAAAGTGTTTTCTGTGGTGACTGATTGATACTAGGTGTCCAGTAAAGGGTAGATTCCATTCTCTTTTCCTTTGTTAGCATTTCCATGGTATTTCCATTAACAGAAATTTCTACCATAAGGTATTTGTGAAGTTTTCTTCAAACTGCTGATTTGTTGTGGTGGTGGTGTGTTAATTAAAATAGCTGAGGGTTGTTTTGTTTTGTTTCTGAATCTTGGTCTGGATCTGTGCCATTTTTAAGTCCAGAAAGTTGAATTTCTGGTTTAATTCCAATCTTATTTTGCCAAGCTATTTTTTTAAGAAAACAAACTGTTTTAATAATGTATGAGGATTATAATGCACGTGTCTCACAGTTTGCAGGAAACAGAGTAAAACACCCATAAGTGATAAAGTGTGTTTATTGTAGGTCAACTAATTACATTTCTCAAACCTGGAATATATGAAATTTGATGGTTGGCTCCAGTCTGTAGAGAACTACGGGGCACACACTGTATCTTGGCTGGGATTCATTCTGAAGTTCTGAAGGCTGGAGCTCATGATAATAGCCCATGAGATTTGGCATGACTAATGCACTGAAATTTTTAAAGAGGTCTTGAGTCAAAAAGTTCTCCCAAAGTTGAATTACCACAAGTCAAAAATGGAGATTCCCTCCAGCGTTGGAGTTGCCCCCCAGCTGCTGTGTTGGGCAGTGCAAGAGCTAACTCACAGACCGTCAAGGAACCTTGTGGCAAGGTGCTAAACGTTGCTCTTGGGCTCTTTTTCTCAAATAAGGTAGCATACGTTGCAAAAAGAAGGCATGCATGTCTATGAAGGTGATCTATGAAAGTCAACGGGGAAATGAAGGACAATTCAGTAAATGGTCCTAGGATCAATAGTCATCATAAAATAAAATAAACCTCACTAACCTGGATCTCAGGAAATCAATGCTAGACAAAGTTCAATGTGAACTTGATGTGAACAGGAAAAGTTTCATGAGAAAATATAGAAAACTACCATATGACCTCAAGATAGAGAAGGAGTCTTAAACAAGGCAAAAATGCACAAACCCTAAGGGGAAATATTACCAGATTTTACTACATCGAAGGTTAAGATGTCTGTAGAACAAAAAGTACTAAACAAAATTAGAAGACAAGCCACAGACTGGGAAGTGATACCTGCGTATAAGCGACAGATGATTAGTACCTGGATTCTAGAAAGTAGTTCCAGACATTCATAAGAAAAAAACTAATGGCCCAGTAGAAAAGTGGAAAAAAGATATAAATCCCAGAAGAGGAAACAGCATTGGCCAATAAGTATATGAAAAGATGTTCAATGTGACAACTAATGAGGGAGATATCTGCCCATATAAACAGATGTGGCAAAATTTTCAAAGCTCATAATGCCACGTTCTGGTGCAGTGGTGAAATGGCAAGTCTTGTGTGCTGCTGAAGGGCAGGGTGAATTGGTAAATCCACTTGGGGGAAGAAATACTTGGCATTATCTCCTAAGGCTGAAGATGCCCCCACTCGTTTGTCCGGGAATTCCATCCTAGAGCAGGACTTCCCACTGACCGCGCAGTGAGCTCTGCATGGGTCACTCGTGTGCAGGGACTTTGATCCTGGAGGCTTGGGGACAGGTGGGGAGGGAAGGGCTGACAGTGACCTGAAGTCCTGTGTTGGTTTCT